GGTGAGGTGCCGCTTTGGGTTGCCTTGTTACAGACTGTTGATAATCCCGAAGCGTCTTGGGACCGGCCCGAAGCCCCCCGAGTTTGCTATTTGTCGTGAGACACGGAGTAGGCCTTCTGTCGGGCGTCCGGGGCCTCTGTCTGTAGGTTGATATGTGGGGATCTGGTTGCCTATTATGGCGCTTTATTTTCTGTCTAGTGCTGGGCAGCTGGGCGAGGTTCACTGCTTTTGGCCTCTGGACGGATTGAAGTTTTGTTTGCTGCTTTTTCGCTAAATTTTGCCTCTTTTCGCGCAACGTTATATCAAGCGCAACAGGTAGTCGGCGGCCTGGCAGTACTTGCTATGAAAACGTTTGTGGAACAGGTTTGACGGGCCTCACAATTAGCGTCACTTGGATTCATGTCGGCTGGGGGATACAATGAGCGCCGGCGCCGCGCTGTCGAGTTATGGTTGTGAGAATTTATAGCGGCTACATTTATGCTGGGTTATTAATGCGTATTTCTCTGATCGACTCGACAGGCTGGCCTTCCTATGCGTTTGCTTGGTTGACTGTGGGTTTTTGGCTTTTGCCGGTCGCATGGCGAAGGTTACTAGCACGTGTCCATTAGATGCGTAGCTGGAAAGTCTTGCTTCATGCGCATGGTGCAGCAAAATTGTCCATAACACGTTGAGAAGAGTGACGGTCCCATATTTCGCCAGCGATACCAGCGGTACGTGGATTCCGAGAGCTTGCAGTTTATGACCAATTGGTATGCCTTCTGCCGCGGATCTCAGAAAAGTCTGAATGTGCACAGCGGATGTGGTACACTGTGGCGCCGCTGCGCTCCCCGGTTCTTCAGCCGTCTCTCTGGCTTGATGAGTGCCTCAGGGCATGTGGTATTACGGTGGTACAGAATGTGCGTCATCGCCCCATTATCGGCTGTTTATAGATAGGCCACAGCGTACAGTTCGGAGCACTGCAATGTATGAATGCCTCGCCAAGAATATGCTCTATTGTGGTACGTTGAGCAAGCAAAGGCGTATGTCCTGCTCTTATTTGCCGTGCAGTCAGCTGGCCACGCTTACAAGTCATGTGGTACAGGCACGACGTTCTTTGAGTCTAGCCTACTTAGCGGCCCGCGAAGACTTCAGCTCTCTATTAGTAGCCCTTGACGTTTTTTCGGTGAAGTATGTATGCCTGGCTGATAGCTGTTGCATTTAGCACGCAGAACCGCAGGCTGCTAGTGCGGTGCATCTTGAGCAATACGCTTTTCTCCATATCGGTCGTAGGCATTTTTTGCTGCACATGTAGCGGTAAAGATGATGCTGATGCGCTGTGCAGCATTCGCATAGGTGCCTTTTCTTTTTCTAGTGGCATTTGGTTCTCCTGTACACATCGCATAACCGTAACGCTTTGCGCTTCACAGAACACCACTTGTGCTGGTTCTCTAGGATGTGAGCTGCTGCCTCATTATGAGTATTGGCGGAGGGGGGCCGCCCCAGTGGCAATTGTGGTTGATACTGAGATGCATGGATACCAAAGCCGGTATTGTGTGTCTCGCTGCTACAGTTGGGAAGCGGGATCAGTAGCAAGATTACGGTGGTCAAGCAGCGTTCCTAACTGCAGCATTGATATCGTTTTTTCCGCTGTATGGAGTGCGACGTGCCGCTTTCTTAGAGGGTGAAGCCAATCATCTTACGGGATGAATCTGCATCGTGCGCCAACAATGTCGTCCATGCAAGTTTCTAAGGCACGGGGGAGTCAGGAAAGCGGGGGTAGGAGAGAGGTGTTTTGTTTAGGCCTAGCCATCTGCGCATGCTCAAGTAATGCCGCGGAATGCTTGCGTAGGACCATAGTCTTTGGTCTCTGCGGAAATGCAGGTCTCTAGTCCTTTCCTCCTGTACCCCTGGGTTGTGCTATTGAGCCGAAACATCGGCGGAGAATGCCGCTCTCTGGAAGACGCAGAAGGTCTGTGGATGCATTGTTTTACCCTGTTCTCGTAATTTCACTTTGTTGCATGCCACTGATGCGTCCTGCCTACTAATACTAGCGGGATTGGCGATGCAGCCAGTGGCTGGGAAGATTGTAGCTCACCGCTGACTGCACGCATTGTGCAACTTAGTGGCATGTGTTAGATATGGTTCTATGAAGCTTGTGCGTTTGTATCACAAGACAGTTGGGTATGCGCCGTGCAGCTGAGTAGCAAGTGTTTCGCAGGACCCGGCGGTTGTGCAACGCACAAAGTGTAGGAAAAATATTGCTGCAGGCGATCCACTCTAGCACGCCAGGAACCTGGCATTTTCCCTGCTGTCTCGTTTTCTATTTTGAAGCAATCAAATGCCACCCACTTCAAGCGCACCGCTATCTTGTTCCATGTTGCCACTGTTTTGCTGCATTTTTTGCCAAGCGACCACGGGACACCGCCGTTTCTGCATGAAAAAGGGGCAGCTTTGCTGGGTAGTCTCTGTACCGCTTGGTCCTGATTCAGCTTCACGCTTTGCTTCTACAATTAAGCAGTACAAGCGCAGGTGGTACAAAAGAGTTCTTGAAGGCAGGACCTCCTGGCAGATTAGGGCGCACTGTGGAAATATGATAAACAATATGAAAGCGTTGCATTGTATGCAACTGGACGGCGGCAGCGGCGTCTGCTTTGTTACAGGGCATGCGGACGTTTTCAGGCATGGCGGTGCGGCACTAGGGGGGTTCGAATACAAGTGCAGTGGCGGTAAATTCCTGCAGTGGCTGCTGAACACTTCTGAGCAGGCGGCTAGGTTACCTCGTGTTCATTGTGCAGTATGCAGCTTTAATTGTGAAGCGCCAAAGAGCGTGCGTTGTTTGTGGGCGACGTCGCTTATTCTGTGGCAAAGCAGAAAAGCGAGTGGAGCTCCAGGGTTAGGGAAGGTTCCACGGCAACGCTTCTATGGCAGCTAAAGCTGCAGTTATAGAAGGCTGGAAGCAAGTACAGAAGCGGTAGTGTTTGTGGATAGCGGGGGTAACATTTGGTGCTGGTCAGACCCACGGCCACACGCTTACAGTATAGTGGAGGAGCGTGGAGGGGAGTGGGACGTTAAAGTGAAGAGAGCTAAAATTGAGTCGCCATTTTTAAGGACAGTTGGGTGCGCCTCTACACACTGAATCGTGCACTTTATGCTAGATTCGCCTTTTTGATGTGCCTGTGCCTGTACGCCCGTTTATATTTGGGCTGCATGACTAAGCGTGAGGCGCCAATGAAGGGTGGTAGCTTTTTTGGGGGCGATCCCGAGAACGCGTAGCCATTTGGTGTATTCCCGGCGCCGGTGGTACCTATCAGTACTTGGATATCTGCAATCGCGTCTCCTTCGATGCCTGGCTTTGTGTTAGCCATTTCAATAGAGCGGGTATGCTGCTTCGGGCACGGCTGCATAGAGCTGGCCGGATGCCGGAGCGGGTGGCTGTGTGCTTGCAGGGAACTTGTTCAGGTCCGGTGCTGAGAGGAATGTTATAAAGCTGCGGATAGTTGTTTAAGTAACTGGGTAGAATGCAATAGTTTTATACACTTCTTCATTTTGATCTCTCTACTCCGCACAGTACAATGCGCAAAGCTCAGTCATGAGGAGGGCTAGTGGTTGCATACAATGACTAAGAGACATTTTCATGCGGGTGTGACAGACAGTCCCTCGCATGGCCTTGAAACATTCAATAGGGCATTGCAGGCCTGCGCGAACGTGCGCATGGTGTCGGTTTGAATGGTGCTACAGGACGTGCGTTGCTGGCCGATGGGGAAGGTGTCAGAATCGAGCAAGCGCCGGCGGTCAGCGCGTTGGGGTAATGACGTAACGCAGCAATATGTTGCTACCAACGCCGCTGGGAATGGAGCAACGGCCACGGGTTTCTTGACCTTGAGAAGGTGTTTCTGGACTCAGTATTGTTTGCTCCTAGTGCTGCGGAATGAGTTTTTGTGTGTGGTATCCAGGGTGTCGGAGTCGGACAGCATACCCTTTTGCATGTCTCTACTTCTGCCTTGGTGAAGAAAGTAGGGTTGTGGGGAATGCCACATATGTGATGCTGGTTGGGAGGTGGTACCCTAGTTCTTTATAATATAATATAAGATCATAAGATAATGCTGGGCATTTTCTTACAGTGCACTTGGAAAGTTGCAGGGCATTGTAGCAGTTGGGGACTAATTGCCTGCAAATTGATTGTCTCGTCTGTAGGTGGATTCCACAGACCCACAGCGCCGAGTACATGTTGGGACAGTTTGGTGCACAACGGTCCTTTGCGCGGACTGGGTTCAAATAGGTTGCGCCGTATAGTTTTGTGTGCAAGATGAATTGACTGATTTTGACTACACTAATGGTTCACCGTCGGTGGTACTAATAAACTTTGTCACTTGAAGCTCCAGCGAAATTGCAGGAGTTAATCGTGGTTCCAGCGGCGTGTAGCGGCGATAAACCACAACTGAACGGACAGAGTGCGCTTTTGCCTATTCGGCTTTTTTGCATGACGGTGTGCACTGACTTCGGCCGATGAGCAGCGGTGGCCTTGGTGTTGGTCGTGCGCAGATTGTAGTTGGCCACACATGTTGTTTGACTAGCACTAAGTGGCCCTGCATGAAGCGACTGCAGCGCATTAGGCATTTCCCCCTGCGCTGCGTGCGGCTGTTCGTAAATCCGCAGCTCTCGAGATTGTACTTCGCGGCAGTTAGGTGTCAGCTACTGATCGCTGAGGCTTTAGACTCGGGAGGGCTGTTATATAAAGCACAGCAATGTAAAGGTAGAATGACAAGTGCATTTTGTCATTGCATACTTTAGCTCGTGCGCCAGTGGGAGGAGAAGGAAGCATCTGCGTTTCCCCGTGGCTTGTGGTGAACACGTGCATTTGGATTTCCTTGGGAAAACCGTGTTCGTTGTACAACACCACTTGATGGCGTCGGGAGAAGCGGTTTGTGACTTATGTTGGTGCGCACGGGGCCCGGAAGTACTCTCTAACTAAGTATTCTTGTCTACGAAGGACGTGGTACGCTGCTGAAGATGACAGACTTTGCGCAGAAATGATAGAAGTGTCGTGTGTTGCTTGGACGCAATCTAACTTCATCAGTGTGAGCTGAACCTGCCTCTCAATGGCTGAGCTTGTGTATCTG